CATAATTAATTATTTAAAAAATTATAAACTAATAAAATTACAATTAAATCGATGGTAATAACAATTGGATGGTGACAATAATCTAACCTTGGTATTTTGTTGAAGGAAATATTTGTTACCTTAAAAATGAAAAATATAAAAAATAATAATTAATTGAGACAAACTTCTGGGTAAAAAATTATGGTTATTTTAAAATAAAAATATTATTTTATCATACCATATTTTAATTTGTATAATTGAATATTTTAGTTTGGAGTTTGGACAATTGATTATATTTTAATTTATATGATAAATATATCATGAAAAAAAATATAATTTATTATATCTTCACTAAAAACTATTGATAAAAGGTGATTTTCTACCGTCAATAATTATAGAATATATAGTTTACACAATTGGAACAAATTGTAAATAAAATAGCTTTTGTCCTGCGAACATGCCTTAGATCTTTTAGGAAGAAAATCCAAGGCCATTCATTTCCATTTTTACTCTTTTTGCTGTCATTTAGGTCTCCCCACTTATCAATAATTATGAGTATTTTGATTTAGTCTTTAGGAAATTAAAAATTATGATATTTTGATATTAAAGATGTTATAACATTTAATTTTAGCTATAATTTAAGTAGAATTTACATTATCTCTTATTTATCATATAATTTTAATTAAACGTCCTAATATTTTTAATATTAGAATGTTTTGAATTTTTTCATCCTATTTATGCACTTAATGTTTTATTTCTATCTTTTATCTTTAAAATAAACATCAATGTTATTATTTAAAAATTACCCCATCAATATTATAGGTATAATGTTTTTAAATATAATAATGTGACTTGAGTATATGCATATCAATTTATGCATAAAAGGTAACCCCAAATAAAAAGATTAATAAAAATATATCAAGTCATATTGTTGATGCATTATACTTAAAAGGTTAAATCCTCAATTTGATCTCTCAACTATTGTACGGACTTTTAATTTGACTTTTAAACTAAAAAAATCTTTAATTTGGTCCCCTATTATTTATAAATTTGACTCAAAGTTGATTCTTTCGTATAAAAGTAGATGACATGTTTTATTATTAATGTAACATGTGCCAGTTAAGTGATAGTTTTTTATCGTTAAGTAACGGACACATCAGTTTTTCGTAAAGAAATAATCAACTTGGGGTCAAATAGGGACTAAATTGAAGATTTTTTTAGTTTAGGGACTAAATCAAGAGTCCATATAATAATTAAGGACTAAATTAAGAGTTTAACGTGCTTAAAAAGCATTGTACATGTAGCATTTTTTTATTACTCTAACCAATTATCTAATGGATAAGAGAGACAAGTTTTTATATTTTATTTTTAATTAAACCTTTTGGTATTTTAAAGTTATTTTGTGGTACTAAAATTTTTACTATTTAAATGTTATATTAAGTCTTAATTAATCTAAAATCGAGTTGATTTGGATCTTATAAAAAAAAATTTCTCTTATTGTCTATCGCTTTATTTATAAGACTCAAAGTTAAAATTTTATTTAAAGAAAATTAAACTCTTTTCATTTGAATTAATAAGTCATTAGTAGATTAAATATTAATTGCTGTATTTTTTATATTCTCATTATTTTAGAATGATAAATATTTTTTATGTAAAATTTATTCCAAAATGATTATAATTTTTTCATATTTTAAAAAAACCAAATAATTTTTTTAACTATATAATTATGCCTTAACTTTAATTATTCATTATATTATAAAAAATCTATTTATTT